CCTGACGCAACTCCCGGGCTCCCGTTACGTGAGAGGCGCTGCTGGGGCGGGCGCTGGGAAAGGGCCGCTCGGCTCCATCCCGGCCCCACAGGGATGCAGGCGGCAGCGGAAGAGGGGGCTCCATCCTGGCTGAGCACTGGGGTGCAGAGCACTTGGGCCCCGTCCAGGAGCTGGATCCATTCCCGCACCTGGCCATGCTGCTGGATGAGGCCGGTCCCAGCCCTGGACATTAGGATGGAGGCAGATGCGGCAGTCGAGGCTTTGCTTGCAGGCTGCGCTGGCAGAAAGGACATGACACCTTCCCTAGAGCTGCCTTCAAATCTTGTGATTTAGAGAGGGCTTGGGAGTGCAATTAGCAGGCGTTAATTAGTCCTGCTCCTAATCTTCATTGATCCTGAGGAGGAGGAGGATGGAGGGAGAGCGTAAGGAGCAGCAACATTTGTGGAGCAGCACCTGGCAAGTGGGGGCTCCAGGGGCAGCAGAGGCTCTGGCCTGTCCTGTCCAGGTGCTGGACACACCAGGTCGCCCCTTGTCCTCTGTGGACCCCAGGAGCACCCTGCCCTCTGCCACCCATGACGCCACGGCCACCAGGTCTGTCCCCTAGCCTGGCTCAGGGCTGCCAGTGCTTGTCCCCGGGACAGGGGCTGCTCCGGCTGCCCTCACCCGCTGCTTCCATCCAGCAGCTCCCAAGCTTTGATCTCCCTCTTGAGGTCCTTCCTGTCCCCAAAGCCCTAGGATCTGGGGAGCCAGAGCCCCATGCACAGACCAGAGGTCTTGGGTGGCCACCAGCTGGGCATGAAGTTCCTCTGCTCCCCCAGACAAATCCATGCTGTCGGATCCTGCTGCTGCAGATCCACACAGGGCTCCCCGCTCAGCTGGCGATGGCTGCAGTGGCAGGGAGGGGACAGAGGTGCCAGCACTGGGTCTGCCACCTCTGGCCAAGTGCCAGCACCAGGGGACTGAAAAATCCTCTACAGCCAAAAAAATGTGAGCGGGGCTGGAAATGGGCAGGAGCCAACATGGAGCCGCTTGCCAAGGCCAACACAGCAGTGTCCAAAATAGCCCGTGTCCGGTTTTGCTCTGGCTGGAGCAAAGGGTGCCAGCAGGAACCACCCACGCGGGACGGGATGGGACAGACAGAGCGCTGCTCCGCCAGCCTCTGCGGGCAGATCCCAGCCTGGCAGCCTGGCGCAGCTCCAACCCAGAGGATCCCAGGCTGGAGGAATCAGCAGTGCCCCATGTCCCTGGCCAGCTGCCCTGGCGCGGTGCCTGAGACTTGTGTGGAAAACCCAGCCTGACGCCCCTTGTCTTAGGTGTGGGGGGAATTGGGTCGCGCTCTTCCCCCTGCCAAGCTCGTGTACAAGCAGGCCCAGGCCTGCCGGGATCCAGGCCCCGTTTCCTTGGTTTCCCTGCAGCTCCCAAGGCTCAACATACTTCCCAGGGCAGTGACAGGGTTGCAGGCTGATTTTTCCCAAGTTAACAACCAGTATTCCCCATTGACAGCACACAGGCCAGAGTCTTGGGTGGGACAAGGATGCCCAGCAGCAGGTGGAGGCTGAACGCACCATTCCCAGGGAAAGCAGGATTAGGCCATGGCCAATCCCAGAGGAAGCAGGATTAGGCCATCGCCTATCCCCAAGGGTCCCTGGCGCCCCACGCGTCTGTCTATCTACAGGCAGAAATGTCTGACTGTTACGCAGATGGGTCAGTCCCAGCTCCCGGCCAACTCGGAGCACTTTCCCACCAAGCAAGAAGCCTGGGCTGGCGGGAGCAGCGTGGGAAAAGCCCAGGACACAGGGAAGCAGAGCGGGTGGGGAAGGGGTTCAGGCTGCAGGGGCTGGCGGGACACGGTGCTCCGCAGCCTCC